CGTAGTTCACGTCAACTGTCATGATCATGCCGCCTACACCCTCAATACGGACACTTTCCTTATTTCGACGTTCAGCGCCAATGCGCGTCGCCTCGCCATCGATCAACGTCGCCGTGCTGCCTACGTCGAGCAGCGCCGTGGTTTTGTACTCGCCGTCTGGACCCTCGACGACAACTGGGAGGATCTTCAACAAACCACGAGGACGGGACTGCCACTGGGACGAACCTATAGTAGAGACGGCAATGTTAGTCATGATCGAAGCGACACCGTTCGTATCGTCGCCGATCGCATTTGCGATCGTTGGGTGTAAGTTCGTATTTGTTGTTGAAATGGGTGTTGGTGTTCCATGAAGTAGGTGATGATGACGTCGTAAGCAACCACTTAGTCCACAACGTTTTGCGCGGCAGTTTCTCCACCTGTGGGAACCAGATTTTAGGCAGCGAAAACATGTCTTGGATTCCCGAACCCACTGCCACCTTTTCTCCACAGATAACTCTAAAAACCCCTTACAAGTTTTTATGTCGTGTGGAGGGTCCACCCGCTTGCAATAGTTGCACTTCAACTCACCTTTGTTAGAAAAAGTCACATGTACCGATTCCCTTTTCAACGGTTTACTCGAAATGCCTATGGGAACATGGTCGTAAAAATAATTAAATTTTAATTGCTGGTCTGCCTCAACCAGCAGAAAACGAGACAGTAACTCAAATTTCGACATGTTTTCGTTGCTAGGCGAATGTGAAGCGGCAAAATCGGTGAAGCGAGCCCTGGTATGTTCATTGAGCTTCAGGGCCACAGAGCGAAAAAGCTCTGGTGAGTGTAGGTGATCGGTTTGATTCAATTGTTTGACGGTCACAATGAAATTACGAACTTTATTAGACATAGTGTTAAGGTCGTGTGGAGTATTAATCTTAGCGATACTGTGGAGATCCGCGAGCTCGCGGGCTACCAGGAGCTCGGGCCGGGCGAAGTTTTGTTCTAGGGCGCGCATAACATCTTCAGGCTCGCACGCTGTCCACAGAAGGGACGCCACGGACTGGTACGCTGCTCCACGAATCGCTTGATTAAGACGTTCTAAATTTTCTGTGGGTGAAAATAAACCTTTAGTACGTTCAAAGCTTGACTTAAAAGCCATCCATTGGCTAACTTCGCCAGAGAAGACCATGAGGTCTGGTCTCTTGGGGCGAGTAGATAAGTTAGAAATGGCGTTTGCCAACTGAGAAATAGGGTCGGCAGGTGGTCGGTGCACAGGGGCAGCGTTAGAGTTGGTCGGTTGTATCGCACGGTTGACCGGAGGGGCCGGGCACGTTCCATGAACGTGTTGGGAGGCCGCGTTGGTCACGGTTGCATTACGTACCCATGATGCCGTTTGCTCTAAACTGCTTTTGCTGGATCGACGCGACCTGTTCGAAGCTTCTAGAGTAGCGAGCTTCGCCTGAAGCTCCACCTGCTCGGCCTCGTATTCAAGCTGCGCCAAGCGCCGTTCGCGCTCGGACTCCTGCCGCGCCAGGCGGCGTTCGCGCTCGGACTCCTGCCGCACCAGGCGGCGTTCGCGCTCTACGCACAGACGCATCACTTCCGCCTCGGCTGCTAATTTAGCGCGTACGGTGGCGGATGAATGGGAAGACTGCGTTCGTGCACTCATGTCGGAGCACTCGCTGCGTGCCGAAACTATGCTTCGCCGGGGTGATTTAGCGTTGCCACAATCGGATCCTTGCCGCGATGGAGGGCGTGTCGCAGACAGCGGCTGTGCTGCGAGAACGGGAGCACCCTCACCGGGAGGCGCGGTGGACGTCGTCGGCACTTCTAAATCACTCGCGGTTTTAGTTTGGCTCCGTGTTTTCACCATAATGAGCGAAATGAAAAACTAATGCGAATTAAGATAAAATGTGAAACCAAATTCGTGCAAAAAAATGAATGACGGATGACAATGTCAAATTAGAAATTTTTGAAAAATATTGAAACTTACGCAAAAGTGGATTCCGCTCGAATTACCGAATAATAAATGATGCGGCGAAAAAGGACCAAATGATAACTACGTGCGATGTGGACTGTATGATGTGGTAGACTTGGTATATGTTGAAAACACGGTCTTCTCAAGTTCACAGTTTATTCGCAACTGAGCCCTGACATAAGTACTGTACTATCAAAATACATGTCATATCAAAATAATATAAAATACAAAGATAAAGTTCTATAAAAGAGAACGGCCAACACCAGCCAGTCGCCAACACCCTGTATCAGACCATGTAAAGCTATTACTTCTAGATATTCATTAGTATCAGTTGTGTTAAGATTTAGCGTATCGACGTTTATATCTCTTGTCAGTATTATATTTGAAGTCTTAATTGATGCCAATAATACATTCAACTAGTCCAAAAATGTTTTCAACAACTGGAAGCTTGGCGGTCGATACATACAAATTATTGTAGTTTTATCATCCATATTGACAACTAGGCAATTGCAGTCAACTATCTCTTCAGGTTCACGCACACTGTACTGTAACGTTTCTCTAATGTATACGACTACCCCATCATTTTTATTGTAGCTTTTATTAGTACAGAACATAGCATAGCCGTTAATTGTTGGTGGTGCGCAATTGTTATTTGTCCAACATTCACTCAGTGAAAACACCTCCACCTGTACATCGATTTGCGAGGCAAATACTAAAAAGCTGTCCCGATTTTTGTTAATGCTCCGAATATTATGGCTTAAGATACATAATGATTTATCACCATTACCGGGATACATATTTAATACTCGCGAGCATTCACTTGGGTCTGATAAAATATCGCATTTTATCACATCAATGTCATCTATAATGTCAGTAAATATTTTATTTGTAGTACCCATTGTTGTAAGTAAATAAAAATAAATGGAACTGTCTTATTTTAGCAGCCTGACATTGATTAGAACGCATTATACTGAAGCATAGATCGCAACATATGAAAGTGAAATCGTGGTTGGAGTTGACCAATGACATTATGTATAAGCAATTTATATAAATAATACTTATAATTGGTACATATAATGGAATAAAACATGTATGAGTTGAGTGATTGTGATAGTTTAGTATGTTATGTGTGTGTTTAAATGGTGCAAACTTTGTAAATAGTAGAATCGGTCTTAATGCTAAATAGAATACTCGGTAATTATGATAAACAATACCAAATAGCTCAAACAGAACAATCAAAAACAATAAAATATCTAAACATCTAATATTGAATAGTCATGCCTTCTCAGGCATATTAACCGGCAAATCATTATCGCTGGCTATTTTCAGCGCCCTGGAGCCTTCTTTTTGTCTCAGGTATACGATGCCGTTTGATGTCCAACAAAATTTGAAGTCATTTTCATTTGCGAAATCGCGTGCCATACGGAATAATCTTTTTGCCTTATAAGTGAGGGACTCCGATATGAATATTCGATTCTCCGGTTTATCCATTAGTAGATGCTTAGTACTCAGCTTTTCAGGGTTATTTTGTTTATTAAATGCTTTCAAACCGTTTAATAAACAATGCTTATACTTAGAAATTGTAAAATCGACAATTATTGGTTTGTTAGCTTCATTTTTTGTATTTATTCTGTATATATTTTTAACCGCCTCCGAACTAATATCAACCTTTAGAATCTTACAAATATTTTGTAAATAATCATGCAAATCCTGGCTTGTTTCAGTTTTAGACACTTTAGGTATATTTCTTATTTTAATTTTCCCTCCAATAAATCGAGTTTATTTTCAAGCGTCTCAACATATCTTCGCGTTTCTTTTTGTTCATTAATTGGGATAAGATAGTCATCTGTTTGGATAGTAAGAGCGCGATACAACACTTGGCTCGATGCGCCTCTGGACACAGGTGTACCGACAGCCTTTAGTGTACTCGGGTAAATATTTCAATTTAAATCAAGCAATGTGATAAGTAAAAATAAAGTGATATTGCAATGGGTTCCCGCGCATAGCGGTATAAAGGGTAACGAGGAGGCTGACAAATTGGCTAATTCTGCTGGTTCAAACGGAATAAAGTGCGACATCAGACCGTGCAACATTAGAGTGTCAAAAAGAGTGGAGAGAATATTTTAATGAATGTTCAAAAATAAAAGGTATTGGGTACAAAACAATACAAAGTGAGCCTTCTCGAATACCTTGGTTTATATATACTAAATTATGTCGGAGTAAAGTAAAACTAATATTAGGAATTAGGTCCAGTCACATACCATCAAGGAAGTTTGCATATATGATGAAAAAAGTAAATACACCTAATTGCGAAATATATCAATAAATTGAGGACGTGCATTATCTTTTGATGGAATGTGAGTGGAATCAGGTGCAAAGAAACATGTTTATATCAAAATTTCAAATAAATAAGTTGGATATAGGAATTGTTCAAAGTTTGCTGAGCAACCCCGAATCTGAAGCCGCATTGTACTTGTGTAGTTTAGTGGAATGCTGCCAGTAAATTACACAAGTACGAAGACGAATGTAATAATATTATAATTCGTAATTAAGTAGCTCAGTACTCGTTAGTTTTGGAGCTTTTGTCCGATGACATTGTCATCGGACAAAAGGTCCAAAACAAAAAAGATAATAAAAAAAGTGACTTAATTTCTATTCCTGCGACCACAGAACACAATTATCCATTAGGAGGAAGTGTAGTAGGGCGGGCGAGCGGGCGACATCGGTGTCATCGGCGACCGTACAAACGGTCTTTAATCACCCTTCTGACCTCTTTCTGTGTTCTTTGCATACACAGCTTTCCCCTCTGTCTAATTGGACATACAAAATACAAACGATAAATGTGTGCAGGATTTGGCGATGTTGTCATTGTTTATATGTGAGTGTCGTAGCAGTTTTGTTTTATATGCGTGTTTTATAAACTGCGTTTATGTGCATATCCCATCCCGCAAAAATGACAGAATTACTAAAATAATATTATGTCGTTACGTGTTATTCTATTGTCTGATCTTTTCATATACATGGCCATTTATGTATCTTTGTGTTTCAGTATTATCCGCGAGGCGGGCGAGGCGTGTGAAGTGCACGTTTCCGCAGCGACGGTGGCGCCGCTCACCCTGCACGCGTGCCTGGCGCACTACACGCGCGCCGAGCACCTGGCGCAGGAGGACGCCTGGAGGTATACTGCCCCACCCCACACATGGCCCCGCGCACCGCACAAAGAATGTTGTCCTCGCGTGCTCGTGTCATAGTATACCGCTCACTGCACGCGTGCCTGGCGCACTACACGCGCGCCGAGCACCTGGCGCAGAAAGACGCCTGGAGGTATACTGCCCCACCCCACACGTCGCCCCGCGCACCGCACACAGAATGTTGTCCTCGCGTGCTCGTGTCATAGTATACCGCTCACTGCACGCGTACCTGGCGCACTACACGCGCGCCGATCACCTGGCGCAGGAGGACGCCTGGAGGTATACTGCCCTACCCCACACATGGTCCCGCGCACCGCACACAGAATGTTGTCCTCGCGTGCTCGTCTCGTAGTATACCGCTCACCCTGCACGCGTGCCTGGCACACTACACGCGCGCCGAGAACCTGGCGCAGGAGGACGCCTGGAGGTATACTGCCCCACCCCAAACATGGTCCCGCGCACCGCACACAGAATGTTGTCCTCGCGTGCTCGTGTCATAGTATACCGCTCACTGCACGCGTGCCTGGCGCACTGCACGCGTGCCTGGCGCACTACACGCGCGCCGAGCACCTGGCGCAGGAGGACGCCTGGAGGTATACTGCCCTACCCCACACATGGTCCCGCGCACCGCACACAGAATGTTGTCCTCGCGTGCTCGTCTCGTAGTATACCGCTCACCCTGCACGCGTGCCTGGCACACTACACGCGCGCCGAGAACCTGGCGCAGGAGGACGCCTGGAGGTATACTGCCCCACCCCACACATGGTCCCGCGCACCGCACACAGAATGTTGTCCTCGCGTGCTCGTGTCATAGTATACCGCTCACTGCACGCGTGCCTGGCGCACTACACGCGCGCCGAGCACCTGGTGCAGGAGGACGCCTGGAGGTATACTGCCCCACCCCACACATGGCCCCGCGCACCGCACACAGAATGTTGTCCTCGCGTGCTCGTATCGTAGTATACCGCTCACTGCACGCGTGCCTGGCGCACTACACGCGCGCCGAGAACCTGGCGCAGGAGGACGCCTGGAGGTATACTGCCCCACCCCACACATGGCCCCGCGCACCGCACACAGAATGTTGTCCTCGCGTGCTCGTATCGTAGTATACCGCTCACTGCACGCGTGCCTGGCGCATTTAGGGAAAAATCATCATATCTTAAAAAAATTACTAGAAAATATCCACCCAGTCCAGGGATTCGATTCTGCTATCAGGGTATACGCACTGACTTTTAATGTTCCCACTGCTGGGGTTCAGGCCTTCCCTATGGGTGGAATAGGGAAATTTGGCAATGACCCACTACGATAGCCCAGCGCGAATAGGAAACTAACGACTGCGGATGTAGCCGAGACTAACGGACCTTCCGAAGCACGGATGAGCTTGAACTTGAAATAATAAATTTTTGGCCCATACGATGCAAAAGTTTCTGCAAAATAAAATAAAATCTATTCACATTCTTATATACGATGCGAAAGTTCCTGCAAAATATAATAAAATCTATTCACATTCTCATGGACTGAGCAATGTCTGTACGAAATTGATTACTCTCTAGAAGGAGAGTAGGTAAACGTTCGAGTGGCCAATTGAACTATAGTAAATACTTGCAGACAAGTGTTAAAGAACCCCAAAAGAAAACATTTTAGTACAATTTAAGTGACAATCTGATAAATAACCCGTCATATTGTTGCAGGTGTCCACAATGTCAAAGGTACATGCCTGTTGTGAAAACACTGGGGCTGTGGACGCTGCCAGATATCCTTGTGATACACTTGAAGAGATTCCGACAGTAAGTGAACTACGACGACACCTTTGTTTAAAAAAATGCTCTTTTATAGATCGTATAATCTTCTCATTTTATTTGCAGGCAAGCTAAAGGTCGCACAAGTACAAAGTTAACGACAATGGTAGAGTTTCCGTTTAATGATTTCGATATGACACCACATCTCGTTAGAAGAAATACTACCGTAGTAGATTCGCCTGGACACTCGCGCTCACCGCGACGAAGGCATTCGAAAACTCCCACCGGTGTGCCTCAAGAAAACATGTACGATTTGTATGCCATTTGTTACCACCACGGAGACGACTTAGAGACTGGACATTACACGGCAGCATGCAAGAATCCATACGACGGCCATTGGTACAAGTTCGACGACTCCAGAGTAACGCCAGTCGACGACGAAAACGCATACGCTGAGCTAGTGAACAACACTGCATACATGTTATTCTACAAGCGGAAAAAACCGAAAGTGACCTACTCCTGTTCCACGGACGATCACAACGGCCACTGGGCGCTTCGAATGCCCAAGTTCGTGAAAGCCAAACCGGAAGTTTTGAATGAACTCACCGAAGTCAAAGAAGAGAACGCCGATGAGAATAAAATCGAAACGCAAACCAACGAGCCTGAATCCGAATCGGAGGCGACTGCGCCAACGAACAGTCCTCTAACGAGAAGCGTGGAAAGTCTACCCGACGACAACATGAACGGGGCATCCACTTTCATCAGTGAGACCGCGACTATAGTTCACAACACCGCTACAATAATTCAGTCGCCAACTTTGCAGCGGCCGTTGATCGTCGAAGTGAATGGCAACAAAGCGAACGAAGATACGAACGATAACGAAACGACCGTGTCCGCCGAGCCTTATATACATAAAGATGTTCACGTGAACCCTAAGATGACACCTGTAGATACGCGACGGCCGCGTTCCGTGGATTATCCAGTGAGGTCTAACGTGTCTTCTGCTAGTAGGGACACGAACAGAAACTATGAAAGTTCACCGCTCGTCGCTAGTATAAACGGCGTAGAGTACCATCCCACCACCGAAGAGTTGATGCTGACGATGTTCCAAGAGTCCAAGTATATAGTGCCGAGACACGGGAATCATATCTCCGGGGAATCTCATAGGACGGGTAAGTGTCAGTAAGGTAGATAGATGAGATAGTAAATTTTTGGTCACCTATCTGATCACTTATACGGTAGCAGACCGAATACCCAAACACTTCCGCTGGATTTGATTAGTGAGGGACTAAATAATATTTTTTGAGTTTTCCAAGAAAATTGGTGTATTATAATAATTATCTAAAAGACACCAACTTACACATAGTTATATCCAAATATTTGTTTCAACGCTAATATTTTTGGATTGTATAGATACAGAATAATGTTTTTGTTTACAGGTGAGAAGTCGTCCGTCTGGAAAACTCGAATATCCACGTGAGAACAGCTGGAGGCGCCGAGAAACCTAATGAGGTTTTATCCTACTATTAATTTATATCCAATGTTAGATCTGCTCGTATGTAGTTGACATTTCATTTGTAAAGATGAGAAGACCCTATACCATACTTCTTACATAGCGAATGAGGAAAACAAAGTAGACCTTCAACAATGATCTTTAGGATTTTGATATTAATAAATATCCTTAATTTATAACGTTATTATCATCCATAAGATTCCTGTCAGGCTTTATTATTCTAAGAACTAAACGTTAATTAATTTTTATTTCTTAACGTATATGCTATAAGTTATAGTTTTAATATCAATTATATAGCCTTCCATTTCGTAAAATATTATCTTTCTGTAGTTATCGTATACTGCCGTATAATTAACGTTTATTTCTATTTTTGCTTACCAAAGATTGGCTGGACATTATGATACTCAATTATAGAAAGGCAACCATAGATATTTAGCGTTATGAAAAATGTGGAACATTTTTCGGTTACAATTGGTGATAACTGGATGTTTGGAGTCTATAGTCGGTTTTCCTTGACTTATAAACAAATATTGTTAGTTTTATGAAGGTATCGGTACTTGATTGAATGTATATGTACATATTGTATTCTAAGTTGAACTACCCAAATACCTATTTGATAGAATCATGTCGTTGTACAGCGCAGAGTATACTGATTGGTGAATGATTTGTAATATGATGAATTTTGTAGAGATGGATATTTTACATTTTTAAAGTAAATAATTGTAGCTAGCAAGCGTAACAATCGAATTTCATAATGGAAACCCACATGTGCCTTGGCCTTAGGGACGTTGTGATTTTACTAAATAAATTGGATGATCCGTACATTTCATTTGTATCAACGTTTTCGGTCAATATTAAATAAATTATTTTCCTGTAAACATTGAAACTTAAGATTTCTGTTAATATTATCTTTATTTTTAAGATAAAATATGGAAGCATATATTATTTTTTTCGTTGGATTCTTGTGTATACCTGTATATATTGGCGTTTGTAAACAGCTCGACGAGTCGATTTTGTATATATTTTAAATATTATTTAGTAAAACCATTGTGATCATTTTATCTACGAAAACGTGAAAAAATATTTTATTTAAAAAGACAGTTCGTATTGTGAAATTTTATTGCAACAGTAATTGGCCTAAACATATATATCACCTTATCATAAAAGCTATTTGGGCATCAAATAAGAGTATTACAAGAAAATGTCATAAAAATTTCAGAATCATAATTTTAAACAGTGTCTTATTTTTTGTGGTAGCCCCAATAATGTGACCATATATAATATATGGTTCATCTATATAGCGTTTAGCTATCTATATTAGCGTATTGAAATGTATTGTGTATTTTTTCGATAATTTTGAAATGGAATAATTTCAGAAACAGTAATTTTCGTCATGTGATTATTTAATTCGTAACACCATAAGAATCTATTTATTTTCCATTGTGTGTAATAAAATATTGCAATAGCCTATTTGAATATGATGTTACAGGTGTGTTAACATATATAAACTCTGGAAAATAGATAATAAAATAATGATTGGTAAAGTACCTTAAGGGTAAAATTGATTGCTCTCAGTTTATGTAAGAAAGTTTTAAACAACTGAACATCGTTTAGTTACCTGATATACCTACACACGAATTGTTTTGTTTACAGTTTCGCAGTTTAGACCCTGCTTTGTTTATTTAAATCGTAGTGTATTGACGACCACAGGCATTGTCTACATACGTTATAAACGTTGGATTTTTCTACAAAAATATTTCTTACTTGATTATATTATTATTAATATTATATTTGATAAATTTTACATAAAACCTAGCAGTGGTACATCAATCGCGTGCGATCGTCAACACTCAGCGTAATTTCTTAATATTATTTTCGTTGTTTTAATTTAAAGATGTTTATGATAATTTCACCACGTTATGTTAAAATATATGTGTTATTCTACACGACTAACTGTTTATTTTTATTTAACCCAAAATTCCGTCGAATCCTACCCAAATAATATGCCAAATAATAAAGTAAGTATACCAAAAGCCAGAGTAACATAGACGAGCTCGAACGAGTTGTGTAAACTCTTTGGCGAAGGCTTCACGAAGACGAGCTTTCTCGTTTGAGAAGGGCATGCTTCTCGTGCGTGAAAACTCGCATTGTGTCAACAAGCCACTAAGAATAAATTAATGCTGTTATGAATTTGTTGTCGGCTACTTTTCACGCTTACAACAATACGTATATTTATGTTTTTTTAATAACATAACAGAAGCTTGAAAGTTATGACTATGTCTAAGTAGGTACCAAATGATTAAGTAATATTTAAAATATAAGGTTCATTTAAGTTTGTTATTTTACTAATTTCAACCATTCTATTATATTGTGATTAGGTATGTGATCCAAAATAGAGAAGGAAATCCGACAATTGCTACGGTCTTAGTCATAGAGTAACTTTGTATATGTCTTAGTCCTTAGAAAGTTGACAGCCTTGAAGTACTCAGCAATGTGCTGATTATAACGCTTCTGTTATATATCTATATTATACTCCTTTGCGTTGTCTAATCATTACTTTTTTGGTTTTCAACAAACAACTTGCGCTCCACCACTCGGTCTCAGACACGTTAATTGATTCCAGTCGAAGTTGGTCTTGTCTCATTCTATTGTTATATATCACGAAAAAGTGACAGGATGAACGTAAATCAAATTTATCATAGCCTAACAGTCCATTTATTACATAGGCTAGATTCATAAATGGAACTGCACGTATCAATGCTACCTACATCATGTAGGTAACATTGATACGCGCAGCTGCAACCCTCTTTCACGTTGCCGGCCTGAAGGTTTAAAATAGCGAGGTTGAACGTTTCATGGAAAAAATGAATATAAAATAAAAAATTATGGGTAATAATTGAAGTTAAAGTATTCTTAATACCTATATTATTAAGTTTCGTTATTCGAAACCTATAATGACAAGGTCTTAGATTACATCAAGTACAAGATATGTCATAAAACAAAATATAAAATTATTTTAATAGACCGTTACAAAAAAAGTATTTTTATAGATTTTTCACACATTTTCAAGATTGTCAGACTAAGAATTCAGAATTTCTGGACAATATTTTGAAACATAACAAAAAAAGAAACAATAATATTCAACAGAAACACAGCATTTATTTACACTGGCGGCCGCCCGCGTCTTTGCCTGCATTAACTTTAGTTTTTTCAGAATCCCACAAGAACCTGTCACCTTTCCGGGATAAAAAGTATCCTATGTCTGAATCCAGGTCATTAACTATATGTGCACTAAATTTCATCCAAATTTGTTCAGTATGAGTAACAATCATACAATGTTTGTGTGTACTTATAAACGTGCACATTTATAATATTAGTAGGAAGTAGGACGGTAGGTTAGCATAGTTAACGAGAGCGTGGTTCGGTACACCCCAATTCACGTTCATCGTACCGAGCTAAGTTGATGAATAAACGTGCTTAAAAGTGCAAAGTAAAAAGCACGTGAAAGCGGTGCGACCCTCACTGCGCCCGCGTTATAATTATAACCAATGAATGACAAAAGCAACCATAAATTTTTATGTAAAATGTAGTGAGCAGCGGCTACCATGGCCCAGGTGAATGGTACCGACTCCTTCTTTGTTACATATATTTAGCTCGACTTTTTGCCTAAAATCAAGATAATGGACAACATGTGGGATAGCTGTATGATCAATCCTACTGCAGCCCATTTGGCAACTCTAGTTCTACCTTATAATGCTTTGGCAACCTAACTATAGGAAACAGTATAACATATTAAAAGAAGGAATCGTCAATAATTTTATTTTTCGTTTTAAAATTGGTTTTGTTTATAATTTTTGGCGCTAACTGCGGCTTAACCAAATGATTCAGTATTACAAAGCAGTCCTACTTACTTTTTCAAAAAAACAAACTATTTATTCCCAAATTTCACAAATTCATAAACATTCAATTTAATTATATGAGTACACATCGTTGCCTGCAATGGTTGAAATCCGGCCCGCGACCTTAGGAAAAAATCAAAGTTTCTCCTCACCAAAAAGTAAAAAAACTCACATGTTACAAGGCAGTGGCGGCGTAGCATGGGTTGACACCCGGGGCGACACTCTATTGAGCACCCTCGAAATAAAACCGAGAATACTAAACGTGCTTACGTGACTTTATTTTGCTAAAATATACGATGACATTATCTTTACTTTTCTGTCCTTTTCAATGGACCATATGGAAAGACTGGTAAGTCGTGTTTGGCTCATTGTTGATCTTGAGTAAGATTTTATCAACCACAACTTTATTTTTGAGAAACTTCTTATACAAAGAGCCATCGAAGCACAAATAGTTAAAAAAAAACCTGAAACAGCGCTAGACTTGGAACGGACTCATAGTCAAGGGCGGATCCTGGGCTGGGCTGGATCCATCTGTACCCACTTCACAATCTGTACTTCCAATCTGTACCCACTGTGACTTGATCACGACTATATGATCCCCCCCTGGCGCCAAAGCTGGATCCGCCCTTGCTCATAGTCCCATTTTACAATAAATTTCAAAAGCTACAGGGTTGTCCATTGGACCGCTTCTAGAAGAGAAATGCTGGTGGCTTCCAAGTGGAGCCTCGGTCGCAAAATTTCCAAAAAAATGTCCTCTGCAGAAAGTTCGTCACAGATTTTAGTAAGATTTGGAACTATACCACGGAGTTCTTCTTCTGTTGAAGTAAGCAGAGTTTTAGGCTAAATAACACCAAATGCTATGAGAATGTCATCCATTGCTCTGTAACGATGCTCTAGTTCTTCGTAAAATCTATCAAGACATTCGAACATAGCTCTTTGTAACTCTTCTGGAAATGTTAATCCAGCGTCTTGGGATATTTTCTCTTCCCCTTTCCTCTTTTTTCAACGGAAATATCCAAATCCTCACATTTCAGTTGCGTAGGAAATAGCTCTTTTCACTATGTGGATATGTTGAGTGTGAAGAAACATTTTTAGGGCCCAGATGTTTGCGTATACTTTTGTATCTGTTTAACTTCTTTTAGGACTTCACACCAAAAAGAGAGGTAGCTTAAAAACTGATGTCACACAAAGCTGGTAAGAGTGTGGATGTTGCTTCTCTTGTATCGACGTGTTCTCTGCTGCTGCTGGAATCACACATGTATTGTCTTCGAGTGTTGACACAAATTTCTCAAAATTGTCCCTTCTAGTCTTTTGACCGATACACCTACACTTTTCATTAGCATTTTCCATTGATGTGAGGATGACGAGAAGAACGTAACTCTTTCTACTGTTACCAAAAATACATTTGAACTAACACTCCCGAAAGAGTGCACCCACGCCAGACCCCTCTTTCCCAGTGGGCACTTTGGGCAAGTGCCCAGGGCCCCGAGATCGATAGAGGCCTCCCTCAGATCAAATACAAAGTAGTTCCTGTCAGATCACCAAATGATAACCAATATTTATTACCAAAAAACTTACATAATTCGATGAAATCGAACCTAAATTACTGACTACAATACCAACTTACTAGCTTTTATATAAGCGAAGCTATTCTACTTTCGCCCAAAAATTAGGCTTTTCGACTTCAGCATGCTAAGATAAATTTAAATATACATATAATAGTATATTAAGCACATACAAATTTTAAACAAAAATCATCAGTATGACTCGTCATAATCCAAATCAAAGTCATAGGGCCCCCATTATCCTAATATGCCCAGGGCCTCCAATAGGTTAAAAACGGCCCTGCCCCATATAGGTTTAGCCAATGATTAGCACAAGGCACAAACTACGCTTAAGGGTTGTGTTATTGAATTATTGCTTATACACCTTCATGAACTACTACCATGGTTTCAGCGTTATCATATGCCTATACACCCTGTGCCCGACATAGACAGATGTCCAAGTTATCACTCTCTAACTGCGTAAGGATATTTTCAGTAAGTGTGACTGCAGTCTTTCCAGCTATAGGGAAGAAACCGAGAAAAGATTCCTTTATTTCAACTTGATCGCCTTCAATATGAACACATCTGATAACATAAATAATCTATCTGATTACATAACTATCAAAAAGAATTCCGAAATATTAAACTTTTCTTATGTCCTCTAAAATTTTATTCTTCACCTCTTTCCCCAAAAGACTGATGAACTCAATTTGAATGTCTTTTGATAAATATTAATCTACCCGCTTACTTTTTGTACAGCACTTTCAATTCTAAGCATGTGCTCTTTTAGCACTGGGTCATATTTTAACAATATATTAACAAATTCTAAGAAATTACCTCTATTGTCTGATTACATCCCCTCTCTAGGTCCTCTCCTAGAATAACATCTAAAAGGCGCTTCAAAATGTCACGCCACTTCTTTTTTTCTTGGTCTAAGACCATATTTTGATGTTCATGGTTGATAGTTTATTGCAGCCTCAACCGTTCTGAACTTGGTATCTACCGTAGTGGCGTATATACCCTGCTATTCGTTACTGAGCTATATTAAAGGGGGACGGGGGTTTATCATATGGTCTGAGCAAAAACATGGCCTACCATAGAATCTGATAGTAAATATTGCACAGATAGGGAAAAAGTTTGCCCATCCCTGGCTTAGGCGTTGAATTAGTTAAATAATGTGACTTCAATATTTTTTTATACATATTATTATTTCCCATTTCATAAACCACTGTTGTAAGGTCATACTTAATATTAGTCCATGGTATATTATTAATCTTTGGTACATATAGAAGGTCTTTATAAAAAAGGGCAACTCTATGGGCGAGCGGTGAAGTGTGTTTTGGAACATAATGTACATAATGAACATAATAACTACTCTAAAATTAAATCAAATAAAATCATAAATATTATAAAGGTTAATTGGGTCTTTTATTATGCACTGAACTTGTACATGGTGTCAGGTGTAAATTACAATCATGGATACCAATTTAAAAGTGCCGAATCCAA